TATTTTAATAATTAAACGCATTAATAATATACGGGGAGATTATACTTTTTTTATAATTAAATTATTATTTTGTTTTTCAACTAATGATAATTGAAAAATTACTAAAATAATACATTCTTTTATTATAAAAAGTATGAAAGATAAAGGGTTAGTTTGAATAAATACCGATCATTCTATAAGAGTTGCTTTTTATTTTTCAGTACCTTAATGTTTTTCAAAGATAAAAAGGTAAAATTAATAGTTATTTAATTGTTTTCGTTTTCTTATATAACATTTACAATTTAATGGTAATCTTTTAAATTATTATGTTTTTAGTTGTCTTTTATTGACAAGACAGATTACGTATTTCAATAGTTCTTTAATTATAAGTCTTTAAGTAGTAATTACTGACAAATTCAAATAACGCGCCTCTCCATAGAGACTTTTGAACGTTTATGTTTGTTTTCCTTCGAATAATGTTCCTAACTTCAGATGTACTTATTTACAGCAAGAAGTTCTCTTTAAAGTGTAAGTTGATAAACATCAAATTATCGAAAAATGTGTTTGGTAAATTTAAAGTAGACATTTTATTACTAAAAGTTGGACCAAAGAAACGTTAATTTAGTGATAATCCTATTGTAAACTGATATTAAGAACGTTTAAATGAACAGTTCAAGCTTAACCAAAGCAACAAAATGGCTGGTGAGTAATTTCTTTACATTTGCTTGTCTTGGAGATCCGATTTTGCTAATGCTGATTTTTGGTCTTTGCCAGATTTAATATCCTTTATCCAAGACGAGATGCTAGATGATACCGACGAAGGTGAGTTCATTGATTAACTCCCATTAATTTTTGTGTTACAAATGCATGCTCTTTCTATCTGATCGATTTCCGGTTTTTTAAAACGATGGCAATTTATTATTTGCCGATTTTTTATAATTAAAATAAACTAAATGTAATATACCTGAAGGATAAAAATGTAACATCAGTTTATCTCATAGTTTCGTGATATGCACTTGGATTATATTGCGTCGTCCAAATTGCATACACGTTTTCCATTTACACAAGCGCTTGTTATTATTATTGTCATTTAAAACGTAAATATGACGTCTCTTGTGAAAAAGTAATTTATTTATTTCTATTTTTACGATAAACTTTATCCCTTTATGATATTACATTTGTGTGAAATCGTTACTACGTTCTTTCTCTCGATTAAGTTGTAAAAAAATAACCATTGACATTTTATTTTAATTGTTATCGTCTAATTATTTTTTATTTGTTGATTGTACCATTGAAATAATTGATACATGTAAATCCATAAATATACATATAAGCAAATTCATAGAGTACTACGAAATACTTATCGTGCAATTTATGCATTAACAAAAAAATAATTCCCTATTTTACTAATGTAGGTAATTTAACTAATAAAAGTCAAATAGTTTGTAGAAATTAACGTATATAGAATATGACTGATTATGATAATATTGTTTTTTGCGAGGTTGGCACCTTTATTAGGTTAACAAAAGTTCTATCAAATTTAAACTTTTGGCGCCACCCATTTACCAAAATTAATGCAGTAATGTTAATCTTACTTTGAATCTAATAGATTTTTAACGACTTTTTTTAAACTGCATACAAAGGGGTAGTCCTGTTGAAATACTGTTTCGAATATACTTATCTAATTGCCAAAATATGTCTGTATATTCACCTGCAAAATTTTATCAAAAATTTTAAATTGATGTCTATTTTATTGTTTTCGATTGAACTGTGAAGGATTCTAACACCTAGATTATCTCCACCACATTAGGGTTGAGAAAAAAAAAACCGTTTACAATCAACACGCATCCCTTTGTAAAAAAAAACAACTAATCCTTGCTCGTTGTAGTAGCATTCACGGGTTATTGGCCTCATTCCCCCCTTTTCACGGCTTAGCCCTGTCTCTTGTATTTTCCATAAGAAGGTCGGTCCTCTATTATTTTTGACATCCCTACACCTATGTTGCTAAGGTACACTGTGATCATTGCATAGTTTTTATTGTTTTTCGACGTGATTTTCCGAGTAAGTAGTATTTGATTTGAAAGATTTCTATCATTGTCACATGACAAACTAAAAAGTCATATACAGGGTGATCATTTGTCATAAGATCATATGAACTATAAGTACAATTTAAATGAAAAATGTTGAAATTTTCCAATTAAAATGATTTAAATAAATTAGACACGGTTTGTGGGGTTCCCTTGTAGAAAGTCAAATTTTGTTTGTTTTTGTTGAATACCTCCTTTTCTTTAAGCGTAAAGGTTTCATAAGATGTGTGTACCCTCCACTCCTTGGCTAACTTCTCCTCACGCTTTACACCTCACGTAATTAATGCACACCCCCATGTACTCCTGTTTCTGCTTCTGATATGTCAGACTTTCCAAACGAGCCCTCTTTTTAAATTGCTTTATATAAATGCTAGGACAGGAAGTGCGTATATCGTCTGCCCCTATAGCAGCTGAATTCATCACCCCACTGAATTCGTGCATGATCTTTTACACGTTCATAAACCCCGTTATCGGGGTTCGTCGTACCTCCGGCAAACTATTAGTTTTAGTGATGGTTATAATAGTTGGGTTGTTGGGTGTCCCTTCACATCGTCATCGTCAAGGCCGTCCGCGGGGGGTTGTTGTACCCTACGGCGTCGTTCGTGTTTCTAGACACTGGCGCACGCGTGTCTTCGTAGATAGTACTGTCGTTAGTGTGCGTCTGCGTACCGAGCGTCGTATCGATCACCGTCGCGACGTCGTACCGTAGCGCCCTGTCGTATCTGCGGCGTCGTTCGGAAACACATCTCCGCCCGAAGACGGCATGTCAACGTGCGATGCGCGTAAATATTCTTTGGGGTGGCGTAGTGTGTATTATATGGGTGATGTGACAGCGCAGTGGGCCCACGAACGAGGGATGAAATATTTTTTTTGCAAAATTATAACGCATTGTTTTTGTTAATAGTCGCGTTCAATTGTTTGTCGAAAATGAAAATGTTCGTTTCGTAGGTGTGAGACATTTTCGAATGTGTTGCCGAGGATAAGTTTGAATTGGTGGTGTTTTTTGCGGAAGGCGCGCCCCTTATAGTAGTAGGTGCCTTTTTGGTGGTTGAAACTGTTAATACCTATAATGAAGAAAGACGACGATGTGTCTGACATGTAGAAAAATTCGTAAAGGTTGCAGTGAAAGTACGTTTCTTATTGCTTTTCTGTGGATCTAATTGGATCTTAGAAAAATGACCAAAAATTTAGAAGAGAGGGTGGTGGTTGTTCGGCGGAAAATGCGACGAATTTGTAACGAAAGGTGCTGTCACAGAAAAGTCCTTTCAAGGGTATGTTTACGACTACATGGTCCGTTATGTTTAACACTATTAATTAAGTAAATAATTTATTTTAAAAGGCCATAAATTTTAGTTTTTAAACTTTAACTCTTATTTCACTTGTATTAATTTTGTGTCAGATTGCGAAATTGTATGGGTTTGCAAAAGTCAAATGTGCGAAAATGTATATTTTGATGAACGTATGGAATATCTTTTCAAATCATTTGAAGTAAGCGTCTTAAAAATTTTAAATTGCATCTATTGGGCTCTATTATTTATATATTAAAAGGTAGCTAAATTTCCCTGTACCACGTCGTATTTTTCAAAAGACGATGCCGCCCTTCGTTGATTGCATTTGTTAGGAAATCCCTGTGTTCGGTTCTTAAACTCGCCACTAGCGTATAAGGGGCTTTATTAACTTCCGATAAATCTTAAAGACATGGGGCCAAGAAGTTTCGCAACGTTTAGACAGATACGTACGTGTGATCGGGTACTCGACCCTTACGTAAATATTGATTTCACCCTCGAGTGTAATAATTATATGTACGTATGTATATCTGTAGATATAGTATAAAGTTTTCGGGAGTTTCTGAAGCAAATGCGGTCTTTGCGACCGATAGCAAGCTTATAATTGATAGAAACGATTCTGCATTAATGATTAACGACTTTTGCTGCAGAATTTCAAACATGGGGCATCTTCATACTACATCGCATACTATTTTTTCAAACGAATAAGCAACTGAATATAGAAACAGAACCATGTGTTATATCCTTAACCTAAAGTACAAAATCAGAGACGAAAGCTCAACATTCCCTCCCGGTGGTAGAAATTCATATTTACTCCTTATTAGGGAAGTATTTTAATATCGTCATCCCCCACCTGAAAATTGCTAGCCGAGCTGAAGGCGTTTTCGTCTTAGAAATCAGGAAAAATTTATCGGGCGATAGGCTGGTTAGAGGGGGGTGGCACGTTGAATTCTGCCCCCACTTCGACAAAGGACTTGCGGTCCTGATTTAGAAAAGCTTTTTTTCTAACATTCCCCAAATTAAAACAGACTTTGCCGATAAGTCATTTAATTTAATGAATTAAAAAGTTGGACAAATGTCTGTCTTTGGAGTTTTTGATTTTATGATAAAGATAATTCAAAAAAAATATTATTACTATTTAATTCTATATTAACTTTATCTTTAAGAAAGCACATTATCTACCTATGTTTAGATATCATTTTAGAATGTTTGTATCATTCGTTGCAGGTGTTTTCGACCAAGGTGATGGACCGACGTCTTCAGCGGTGGACTACACCCTACCGCCCCTTCTCAGACTTAAGAAGCACGCTTTCTACGACCAGTGAGTTTTTTTTTAATCAATTTTTTTTATGTTTTGATTTTCGGAGATAATTTTGCTGATTAATTATAAAAAAGATAAAATCTCAAAAAGAAATGAAATAAAATCGTCGCCTGTCTAAGAATAGCGGGTTCGCCATCACGACGCCCACCCACGGGAACATAGCTAGACGATTACGGAATCGCGAGTCTACGGCGGCAGCGAGCGTCTCGACGCGGACCGACGCATCTGTTGACATCAACAAGTCGTCTGGCCGAATCGCAATTGTAACTGGTGTCTCATTTTTTACGATACTTGGAAAACGAATTTTTCTTTCCATTTTTTGATAATGACAAAAATCGGGAAGTTGAAATTTCTTTTTTTTCTTTCAAAAGAAAAAAGTAGCGCAATTCGGTGGGTGTATTATTTTGTTGTCTGCATGTGGTGCGAGTTTGGATTCTTCAATTATTTTTGGATGACTTTGGGTTATTTGTTTTGGCTGCATTATCGCAATAAAAAAAAAATAAATTATTTTTGTCATTAATAAAGGTCATGGGACGATAATTATAGTAAATCTTACTGATTAGTGGAGGTTTTTTTAGGTCAGTTTTTCGAAATATAAATGTCAAAATTCGTCTTGTTTATTTTAAATATACACCAACGGAAAGTTGAGGACCAGGCAGAGAGATACATTACATGCGATCACCAAAGGTCGGTATCATCTTTTGAAAAATACAACGTGCTATAAGTAAATTCGTACAAATACCTTCAGCCGTCTTTTCGTGAAAGGGTGTTAGGCTTTATCTAAACGATTTTGAGAATTCGGTTAGTCTATGACACTTTTCAGAAATAAATGTATTCCACACGTTCCCCAGATTATGCATACAAAGACAAAATGCCATCAATGAAACGTGTAATTTCCAAGTTCAGTGAAAGTTTTTCCTTATATTTGGGAAATTGTACATTTCTCACCCTCTCCCGCCCCCAAAACCTGACCTGTATTACCGTGTCCTGAAATTATACCCCCTTACTGTTTTGTCATCGCGATTTGGACCGTGGCTCCGGCGGATTGTCTATAGGGAGCGGCGAGTGATGATCTCTTCCTACGAACGACAGAGGGGGTGGCACTTCCGCATATACATACACCAAATGTGCCCACACATGTACCTATACGTCGTATGTAGTTGATAATAACGGGTCAGCCATTTGTCGTTTACCTCAGAATTTGTTCCAAAAGGGGATGAATGTTGGCCTAGGACACGGCAGGCGTCCGTTTAGTAGCGTAGAATGTACGGGGAGCGTTAAAAAAGTTAAGTGACATTTGCTAAAAGATTAGCAGTTAACTTACTCTGTATCATGAGTTCATTTAAGAACTTTTGTCCATATACAGGGTGATCGCCAGGGAGTCGAATAGTAGTAGTAGTGTTGATGTTTGATTTCTAAAGCCTATTTGTTGGCAGTTATTTTTGGGAACAACACCCTTTAATGTGTACATGTATGTATGTGTGTAAATATAAAACAGATTTTGTGTAAACTACAAAAGCGTCTACCGTCTGGCTTCCTGTTGCGTATAGATGCACGTTATACGGTATGCATGTGTGCGCGTTTTGAGCACGAGCCACATCTGTCGCTTTATTTGTCGTCGATTCGGTGGAGGCAGGTGCAAGAGCCATCAGGCCAGGAGCTTTGCTTTTTGTCTCCCTGAATTCTATTATACCAACGTGTAATATTGCCCCTGTTTCTTCCATGTATGCACATAATTGACTTATACAGTAGTGGCGAGTTGAGCACCGAATGTAGGGATATTCTGTTATATGCAATCACCAGAGGGAATGGTGTAGGAAAACACGTTCAACTTCAACCATCTTTTCGTACAAAAGATAAAGGAATATAAGTCCAACATGAGAGCCTATAGTGGTGTAGGTACGAGACCCCATAAAGACAAAAAAGACAGTTGTGTATTATTCCTACCTAGGTACACCCTGACCTACGTACTATTCCAAAATTACCTACCAAGATGTTTTGTCAGAAAGTTATTAAAAAAAAATGGAATATGTTCCCCTTTTCTATGGAATTATATTTTATATTTAGGTGTACCTATTATGTTATGGGGTGGGTAAAGCGAAGTATATTTAGAAACGGTGCAAAGGAAGTCCATCAGCGACATCATCGACGTGACATCTGGCATCCGCAGGTGTGCTGCGAAAGAAGCCGCGCGCCTGCTGGGCACATACACAAATACATACATATGTGTAGGACGCGTGCACCCCATTATTTTGTTTTTTTTTTTCGCATGATATCAGACATATACAGGGTGGTACCTTTTTGAAAACTGCACCACCTTTTGTATGTACAAGAATCTTTCAACTTCTTGTTTCACTTTATTTTCTGATCTACCCTCGTACCGTATGCAACGACTGACGTCTGTGCCTTCTTGTAATAAGACTTCGTTCGCGCAGATGTTGGACGAACAGACAACACGGGCAATGGTCCTGGCGGCTAGTGCGTAGTGCCCTTCTTTTGTATTATATTAGCGCCCGTTGACGTTGAAAAAGTAACTATATAATGCACCCTTCGGACAAGGTTTCAGCTGTCCGGCACGACACAAGAGTGAACGAACAACAATAGTGTTCATTAGCTTAAGTTACAAGGAAGAAAGGTCACAATGCAAGAGCAGCAGCAAATGATCAGAATTTTAAAAATCCTTCCATAACAATGTAAAGAAATATAATTCTCACATAATTTCGATTAATTATTGGAGCTTAATTTTTACGAATGTTCGTTCAATCCTGTCAGGACGATTAACTCACGTGCCTTTAATAAAGAACACGTTGATCCTTACGCCTTGTTGAGGGGGGAAATAACGCATCCCGTATATCCTGTTTGGGGTCACGAATATGATTTCAAAAACCGCTACGCAGGGGTTGGTTGACCGGAAATATTATACAGGATGGTGTTTTCTGGTGTAAAATAACCGTACTCATTTTCATCCCCTACAGGTACCTATTACTATTATAGGTATATTCTACGAGAAATTTGTTATTGTTTTTCACAGCCTCTCGTGCAAATTATCAAGTACATATATATACACGAGCGTATGTGTGATACATGTGTTGTTTTGAAGTACAGTATGTTGTATGATGTGTTGAAATTGATCTCCTTTTCCGTCTGGCAACCAGGTGCACACTTTGCCATGACTCCGTTTCCTGTCACGTGTTATTTTTTTCCTTATTCCTTGTACGTTCTACCCTAACTAGATAGGTGCCTAGTAGTGGGTGTCTAGTTCAGATGAGAAAATTGCACAAATGGGGTAGCTGTGGTCAAATTTAAAAGAGAGAGTATCGTATGAAAGGGTTCCACTGCTCTTGATAACATTTACATACATTCAGTCTAGGGTTGTCATCTCTAAAATTTGGAAACCAGGACAAGACGCGTGAAAACCCCGGATTTCAGAGTCCAGAACCCGGACATGTCAACAGGTTTTTTTAAACATAGTCAGTGTAACAAAAAACAGTTGAAAATGTCATAAATCACCCTTTTATTTATTTTCAGACCTTATAAAATAATTTGAAGTGGTCTGTATTCTTATTACTCTTATTACAGTTTGTTACAAATTGTTGTAATAATCAGTTAGATTTCTTTTACGTGTGTGGCGGGCGGCCCAAGACTTTAAATTTTTAAACCAGGACTACAAATGAAGCCCCCCCCCGGATGCCCTCTAAACTAGGACAAATCCGGGAAAACCCGGACGGATGGCAACCCTAATTCTGTCTATTCTTCCTTAGTCCAAAACGTGCAATTCCATGCGAAGAGTTCTGACGACGATTTGACCACAACACCTAGCATAAATTAGCGTGTGGTTTCTAGCCATTTCGATAGAAAAATTACGTCCATTGCCAGCCTCCCATGCAAATGTACGTATGTAAAACTAAACACTTTGTATGTGGACAACAGTTCGAGTTCCTTCGCGGGGGGTCGCAGCCATAACAAACCTCTCTATAAATAGGTCGACAGAACGCGAGTGTGGTGGACTTTTCTCTGTGCAGTCTGGGGGCATCTCTCTTACTTTCGTCATAACAAAACACACTAGCAGCAAGTCTTTAAAAATAAATAAAACTAAGGCACGAACGTCGACCCAACAAGTCACGAAGAAAATAAATGAATGAATTATATATAGTTGCATATTTTTCTAAGCTCAGTTTTCTTCAAAGTTACTCAACCTTTCACGATGTGATGTGAATAAAATTTCAGAATTTCTTGTCCCCCTTGCAGTCATCTACACTTTCAAGACCGTCCCGAAGATAACAGTGCGTTATATTTTGGAGGAGACTGTACGCCGATGTACAGTACGTTCCGGAAAATTGTCTCGTGTTGACATTGTTTGCAATCGTTTCATTGCTGTACTTGTTTGTACTGTTGCTGTCTTGCATTCCATGGTAGGTATGCCGTTTGGTCGGTCGGGTATTTAACAAAATGACCGAACGTTGCATACACATACATATATATATCTGTAAAGTACACACACCTATACGGATTCACGTATGCGTACGTACTTCAACACATACACGCACACGTGACCGCCTGTGAACTGTGACGTAGAACGGGTTACGTTGGGACGTTGCGCAGATAGCGGAGTGCGCGAACGAGGGGGGAAGTACACAGAACTCCGTGCGCGCACGCGCTCATGTTCTCTCTTCTCTCCGGTTTGTTTACAAACACAGGGACGAGACGCGCGCCGGCGTCAGCGCCGTCTCGATCGGGCTACCACAAGTTATTCGATTCAAAGATCAGCAAATCTGGTTCAATGTGGTACAATGCAATAATCTTTTTTTCATGATATTTCCGATGGTACAATAAGTTGGTAATGTGTCAAGAGTTCTAAAGGATTGATTGTTAACTCGGTAAGACTTGGGGTTTTCGAGGTTTATAAATCGTTCATCCTTCAATTGCAACACTTAGTTCAATTGGCAAATTCTTAGGAGCTCACTGCAGAGACTTCCTCGTCATCGTTAACGAAATAGGAA